GAAAATCACCGATTTCAACGGTTAGGAAGTGCTCCTCACTATAAAACCTTATAAATTAAAAGTTGTTAAGATAATGAGCCTGATTTTAAAAATAAGCTAAGGTTAAGTAAGAAGAAAAAATTGATGGCAATTTGAAATAAATATCATTATCAACTTACTAGCTTTCGCGCGCGACTTCGGCCGCGGAATTAAAAAAAAACAAATGCAAGTAGTCTACGTGTGCTTCCAGACTATCCTATACATCTATGCCAAATTTCATCAAAATCTGTTCAGCCGTTTAGGCTACAAACTCTAACAAACATCCATCCATCCATCCATTTAAACTTTCGCATTTATAATAGTAGTATGATTAGTATGATTGGCATTAACGTCTAACAAACTTATTGCCAACTTTATATTTCAAATATCACCGCTCAATTTTAAAATCTAAGTTTAATCTAAGTTATGGTTCATTATCATATTAAGTTATAATCATATATTCAAATTTGATGAAGAATTTTACAAATACTGCAATTCCAATGCACGAACACGATTATAAGATAGTTTAAATGAAATATTTGACTGCTACCGAAGTATTTGCATCTAAAAACTTAATTTTCTCATTACTCTGCTCGTAACTTGTTAACATACGAGCCTAGTCAGTTGACTCAGCCATTAGCATACCTGTTTGACAATTCCACGTATTAAAATTCATCGACATTACAAAATGTATGTTTTTGAATGATTACATTTTTTTTCTTCGAATTTACTTATACGTGTTTCGCTTTAAAAGAGTTCTACTCTGTTATACTTAAAAATCTTTGTTTTTCTATATGTTCAATTTAACATAACTTTCTTACTTTAGAGTCAGTTTAAAAAGATAATTTATAAAACCGTAACAATGAAAACCATTTTATCGCAGTAAATTGTGGAAAAATTAAATATCCCTCGTGATCCGAGTAATGTTGTCGACATGTAATTTGTCGTCTTAAAGTTGACAAGCTTAAGCGAGCGAACAAATAACTTCATTGCTTCGAGAACATTAATAAGAGAATTTCGTTATAAAAATTCTAGAAGCTTCGTAAAATGTTATTTATTAATTTCCTTTATTTCTCTATATATTTCAAATACAATATAGCGTATCGATCAACAAACAAGTTCACCTTTCATCACCTTTTCAATAATAATCGAATTGTTAAATGTTAGAGCAAGGTTTGCTTGGTATTAATTTAGAATATAATTAAAATAGCATTGTTATTTAAAATAGAATATGAATACAACTTTTTTTGTTTACGCTTTCAATCTACTAACGTAAAATTTTAAAACTAAAAACCAAAAACGTAGTGAAGGTAGTCTAACAGGAACTTGCTGTTACCAAGTTATGAAAACCTTGCATGAACTAAAAAAAAGCAAAATGATTGTTATTTATGTATAATAGAAAGTTAAAAATGTTAAGTTATCTCAAGAAATCCATATTAACCACACTTACAAACAGTATTTAGAAACCAGAAATCTTCCCTGTTTTTTTATATTTGATGATAGACTATTTCTATAAGACACTAATTAACTAAGACACTATTGCCTTTAACACTGGTTTGAATGCAGAATCAAGGGACTCCAAGCATTGGCTAACCATAACTTAGTCTAGCGCTCGCAGTCATATAGTATGTTGTACTTGTCTATAAAATAGGTAAATTAAAAATTACATGATAAGATATGTCGTGTAATGTATAAAAAGTTTTCAAGCGTAAAAATACCATATTTATACCATTGTTAAATACATTTTTCAACTGTAATATTAATGCTTGTTGAACGAAGTAAGTTATTCAATTAAATCAAATGTAGTTACTCTGGTCTCGAGTATCGTTTGTAAAGCTTGTCTGTGCACAGTTCGTTAACTGGTTATAAAGTTTCCTTAAGTTTTTTTTTTGTTCTTTTTAGCATAAACGTGAATAGTCTGCGTTGTACATTATCTTGTAACAGCATGCGTGTTAATATGCAATCAAGGAAGTATGCCATTTGACTACATCCGTATCGAGGTATTATTGGGGGTAAAATTATTATATAATTTGAGGCAGTCAAGCAAACCACTAAATGTCAATATCCCCCATCATGCAACCGGTCACGTCTCAATGTCAAGTGAAAGAAAGGACGTGCTCGACGAATTCAATTAGTAGGCGTCTACACAGACAGATCGTTCCTATCGTTCGATATTCACTTTCTAAACTTAGTTATGTTATGTGAACAAACGACAATTGTTTCCAAAACAGCCTTACCAAATATAGCATTGACTTCCGCTATATCCAGTTTCGCTACAGCTAATAAAAGTAAATCTATAGCTTTCACTCTCATTCGTGTAAACAGTTACGTTATGTTACAAGTGGAACAGTTAAAGGAAAAACTACACTAAACGGTTGTAAAGTTGGACCGCTTGCATAAGATTATACATATTTAAATAACTCAGAATAACCGTCGTCACATTTTAAACGTTAATTTATGTTGCTTAAATTATATATAAATGAAAATTGTTTAACTAACCGTATA